CATGGTACCATTTAAATCAGTATTTGAATAGGCCGTCTAAGTTTTCCCATTTGAATTTTTTCACATTTCTCATGTATGGGCCTTTTTTAGCGGACTATACAGTATGGGTTTTGCTCATTGTTGAAGGCTGTAAGGTGATGACATAAGGAACATCTGAGATCACCCCCTGTTTTGTTGGGGTTCTGTTGCTCAGTCTTTAGTTTTCTATGTTGTGTTTTGTGTACTGTTGTTTATGTCTTTTTCCTTTTTAGCCATGGCTTTGTCAGTTTATTTTCAACTTATGAGTTTGAATATCCCTTGGTATCTTTGCCTCTGAGGCTCTCTTATCTCTTATAGGAGTTCACAGTATAATCATTCATATATATTTCCTCATTTGGATATTTGAAGAAGAGAAAAACAATTTGAGTTTCATAGTTGCTTTGTAGTTTGAACCAGAAAATAATACACTGATTCTGTTTTAACATTTGTGCCTAATGACCTTCTTATTGATTTCATTTTCATCAATATTTCCACCATTTAACATACAAGTTTTACACCATTCAGTTGCCTCAGTCTTATAGAATTAATTTGATTTTAATAAGAGAGTATTAATTAAAGGCCATTCAAAATAAAGTATTTGGTACTCAGACCATGGAAGTATAATAATGGCTCATAATGCTGTATGTTTGTTTTTCATTTCTAGATCTATTCTATTATGAATAAATGGACAAAAAGTGCAAGAGCTGTATTCATGTCAACGCTATTCCATCTTGATCAAGATAACATTATTATGATATTAGACATGCAATTTTAGCAAGCTTAATCTGTTTGGTAATGATGTCCAAACTCCAAAATGAGATAGAACTTTCCAAAAAGAAAAAAAGTATAGTTGATGCCGAAAACACATAATTAGCTGCACCTGATGATTTATAGCCTGGAAACAGTTTTGGTCCTTCACAGACTTAGTTATCTCTAAGCCTAAGATTGAACTTTCATTGAAAATAATAGGAGAATGAGAATTTTTCCTCCATTGATTTTTCTATAGAATATCTGCCACTTGAATGCTGGTCAGTTAGTACTGACAAGGATCAGGTATAAAATCAATTTCTTCATCAATTATAGAATGTTGTAAGTTCAATCATTTGTTAAATGGACTTATTTAATTTTCTTTGCTGTATTTCATTATCTACAACTTTTACATTGTGGAGACCAATTTACAAGTACATACACTGAACAGTTCACTGGAATTCATTGGCTTTTTATGGGAAAGTTGTAATGTCAGTTATTGGTGTCACTGACTGAGTAACTTCCCTTTGATTGTTTTTCTACAGGAAAGTAGTAAGTTCAGATATTGATTTTACTGATTGCCTTTCGGTGGGAAAGTTGTAGTTCAGGTATTGATTTCACAGAGTAACCTCCCTTTGATTGCCTTTCTGTGGGAAAGTTGTAAGTTCAGTTATTGATTTCACTGAGTAACCTCCCTTTGATTGCTTTTCTACGGGAAAGTTGTAATTTCAGTTATTGATTTTACTGACTGAGTAACCTCCCTTTGATTGCCTTTCTATGGGAAAGTTGTAGTTCAGTTATTGATTTCACTGAGTAACCTCCCTTTGGTTGCCTTTCTATGGGAAAGTTGTAAGTTCAGTTATTGATGTCACTGTCTGAGTAACTGCCCTTTGATTGTTTTTCTACAGGAAGTAGTATTAGTTCAGATATTGATTTTACTGATTGCCTTTCTATATACCTGTCCTTAGGATTTTTGTGTAACTCACTATCCCTATGACTTGCTGTATACCTGTATGTAGGTCTACACTATACCAGTCCCTATGACTGCCTTGTAAGCTCTTTAAATGTTGATTTATTAGCCAGATCTTAAGTCTACAAATATTGTTTTTTAAAATTAAACAGTGATTTAAATGGTTATCTATTGACATAACACCTTTCTGTACAAACTTCTGATGGTGAACTTTGTTGTGGAGAATTTCTAAGGCAGATTATATTCCTACATAAAATTGAGTTGAAATAGCACTTTAAATTGTGTTGATTTAAGATATGAAGAATAAAGACAGACTTGGTCTTATTATATACATGGCAGTGAATTATTTACTGTTTGGGGTCAATTTGCTTAGGGTAGGCTGATAGAGTGCTAAATACAAAAATACATGATTAAGGGCCTTATTTAAAAATGTATGAATATTTGTATACTGGGGTGATTTGGTATGAATTTGATAATGAATTAAAGAAAATAAAGTGTAGACACCAAGGGTCAGCAATCCAAGAATACAAAATAAAACTTGACCTTTGGTTCCTAACAGTAGATATGATTTCATACATTATATCAAGCTCTACTAATTACCCATAGTCTTGACATATTGTCAATAGATCTAACAGACTAAAATGAATTCATTTGATTCAAATTCTTAAAAGACAAAAAAGTACTATGATATAACAGAATGACCGAGAAAGTTTTATATGTGGTGGGATTGAGCCAGTTTTTTAGTAAAGAGATGAGGGAGTTTGATCTATATTTTGGATAAACTTGGTTGTATTTGTAAAAGTATTCTGGAATCATACAGAAGAAAATATTCACAAAAATCTTACAGTATGCTTTAGTTGAGCATATGTGTGATGTAACAATGCATTTTCTTGATCAATCATCTGTCTTGATAAAAGTATAATGTTCAAGATTACTAGATCTGTGAGTTAATATCTAATAGAATACCACATTATATATACAAATGTTATGAAGTTCAAGATTTCTAAATCTATGAGTTATATATCTATTAGTATACCACAGTATATATATACAAATGTAAGCAGTTCAAGATTACTTAATTAATCTGTTAGTTAATATTTATCAGAACACTGCATTATAGATACAAATGTTACCCAGTTAAAGATTACTGAATCTGTGAGTTAATCTATCAAAATACCACATCATGTACAAATGATACCCAAAATCTGTAGCTGATCTATTGTAATATTTACATAGAACATTAAATGAAGTTATCTTGTGTTTCTTGTAATAAAGTTTGACAATGCTATCTAATATTACCATTGTTTTAACTGCTTCTTTAAAATTGGTAATAAAAGGAACCTATTTTGACAGTGTTACAACTTTCATGGTTCACCTGACAGACTAGTAAACTTGTGTTTCATGTTTTTAGTACAAACTCCATTAGTTAAAATTAATGTAAAGATAAATTTGTTGAGTATACCCACGAAATCCTGGAAAATTGGTATATCAATCATCTATCTTGATAAAAGTATACTGTTCAAGATTACTAGATCTGTGAGTTTAAATATCTATTAGAATACCACATTATATATACTAATGTTACGCAGTTCAAGATTACTAAATCTGTGAGATCAACATGTTTAAGTTAAGATCTTTTTGAATTAGAAAAAAAGAAATGAATGCGCCGACAATGTTATTTCTCATTATCAAAATACTTCAAACCAGATAAATTAAAAGTGTGCATTCCATTTTTAAAATAAAAAGAATACTTTTAAAAAGCTACTACAAGTTTTTAACTTAAAATTGACAGTTAAACAATGTTATGTGCTAACACAATACAAAAATAAAGTCCAAAATGTATCATATTTAAAAATTTAAGTCATAAATTTTTTAAAAAGGTTTGATTAAATACCTATAACTTTGTGAACTTTAACCCCGTTTTTCCATTGTAGCGCTCTGTCACACAGAAGATTTCAGAAACTTATAAAAAGTGATTTTCTGTGATTGATACTTTGGAGATTTATGTCTAGATGACATTTTGACATTATTTATCTCAGACATTATTATTAAACTCAAATTTCTTACAACTTATAACTCATACATAATTACGTACTCAAAACGGCTAGAGAAACAGAAATGTGCCCATTCTGATGAATTATGTGCATATTAATTGACATGAAGGAGTTATAAACCAATTTATGTGAAAAAAAGAACAAATGAATTTTTGTGTGTTGAATTTGATTGAATAATTGATCATTAAACTTGTGATTTAATTGGATAAGAATCATAAAGTACAAAATGGCCGTGCAGTTAGTTCAGTATATGGATCTGAGACAAGCCATTGATATAAACCCACCAAGTTACCACATCATACAGATACAGGTAAGACAACTGACCAATCATAATTCTTCTTTATTCAAATGGTGAGTGAATAAGCCAATGAGAACTTGGCATATGCTAACCAATTGGGCTCAGAGTTTTGAAAATGAAGGTTTGTATGGATATTCAAATTAGCTACTAATAATGTGCCTTGCAATGCCAACAGTATGTTGTCAACCAGTTAGCTTTCCTAATTGAAGAACTGATTGATTCTCAGGTCTATTTGCAATCGCCAAATGGTCCAGAAATATTAAAAATATAATACATGTAACTGATTCGAAAGAGAGAACAAACAGTGCTAAACTTACAGTTCAAGCTATCTAACAAATATTTGCTATACTGGCTCTTTTGCTTATTTTCCTATAACCACCATAAACAATCGGTTAATTCTGTATACAGAGGAGATCAAGCTTTTTCTCTAAAACCAAAAGCCTCTTCAGCTATGAAATTAAAACAATAATGGTGATCATGGTGATGAGCTTCACATTTTGTTACAACCAAGCTATAATATGTTTTTTGACATTTGCTTGGAATATTTCTGAATTTACATTATTATTAGTAGATCCTGGCATTGTGGAGATTATCTCCCCTTACATTTGTAAGGGATAAACTCAGATTACCATTTATTTGGTTATTGAACGCCTTAAAAATGTTGGGATATTTTTCACATAAAATGTTATGACAATAATTGATCGCAACTTATTTAAACTGAAATGTTCATAATTTACGAGTACTCAAATTTTTGGTTGTAAGTTTTTTTGTGAAATAAGTCCCTGTGGAAGCACTTGATGTGTTGTTGTCATAGAAATGAACCCTGAACGATATCTTTTGAAGTGTAAGTTTCGAAAGGTTACAGTATGTATGTTGATGACTAAAGGAAGCATAATTAACTTTGCTTTAACAGGCAGAAAGTGGGGAAAAACAGAAAAAAATAGACGAAGCTGAACAGGCTGCAAAAACAGCTGAAGAAGAGGCAGATAGCCTCCGTCATAATCTAATAGAATTACAGCTCCGAGTAGGTTATCTCCCCTTACAACACCAAGCATTATTCAGTCTGCAGATGATATCCCCAGCACATCCTTACTAACAAGTCATTATTTTGAATTTTTATGAAATATTTAAAGTACATAGGTCACCACCAATCAGACAGTCTTGACAAATAATGAGGTCAAAGGGCACATTATTAAGATTAAAAATGCAAATATGTCTTCAATCAATTCCAGTTTAAGAGTTCGAAAAATTTAAGTGGAGGACCATCTGGTAAATGGGGATTTTTTTTTATTTTCGTGTTGTAGATTGTACCTTTATTAAAAGAAATCTGAAAGCCTATTAGAAATGGGTTCCAACACCTGCAAGCAATCCTCTGATTCCTATAGTGCATTCTGTTTCAATGAAATTCCTGTAAAATTTGAATTGCAAATTTGTTATTATCAGCATCCATAAAAGTTTTGAAAAAAAGCTTGAAAGGCATAGATTGTAAATTTAGCATTTGTACAATGTAACTAATGGGTATTGGATGTTGCTACAATATTTAAAATCAGTATACATAGTCAGTAATGGGAAACTCAAAAATCAAGTTCTGCCCTTTATTTAAATAATTCAATGTATCTTATCATAATGTTCTTAGAGATAGAAAGAAATGAACCAAACTACATTATTAAGGATTAACAACATCAAAGATGGAGTCAAAATAATCTCTTTGAGTCTTTTATCTACATTTTCCCATATTAGAAATCTGTCGAAAAATCGTTTGATCTCATAAGTATTATATAAGACAACTTGTATTTTAGATCATTTATGGAAAGTGGATTTTAAGTATTAAGAATTTAATTCACCATGAATTGTTTTAGATATGCAAATTATTTGTGAGCTTACAAGAAAAAGGCATGTCAATAAAATATTGATTTAAAATTTAAGGATGTACTTAGGTGAAATTAAAAAAAATCTAGAATTTAAAATTGATACTTTGCATCAGGAGAGCATTAGTTAAGGAACAAAATAAGCTAAAATCTTGATAGGTTATGGAACTCCTTTTTGAGATATTTGATTTTTAAAAAAATGGTGGGAAAAGGCCAACTTGGACTTTTACCTTATATTTAGCATTGGCAATATTTGGGTCTAAAATTTTTCAGAAAAAATATCTAGAATCTGCTTAAATTTTGGTAATGACCCTTTTATGAGCTATTGAAGTCTTCTATGAAAAGAAAAGTGGGTGATATTAATTATGGGGCAAAATATTTTACCCTGTATCATAGGAAAACACACAAGGAGTTCGAACATCTGACAAAAAATGTATAGCATTCTTTGTTCCTCGAGAGAAATACAGAATTTAAAAATTTCTCAGATATCCAGGGGCGGATCCAGGATGTTAGGTTAGGGGGCCCAAACTTAATTTTTTTTGAGGTAAAATTATCAAAATATTCTTTATTATGCAGAGGACAACCCATGCTTTGCAAATTTTAGGGGCTAATGCCCGCCATTCCCCCACCTAAATCCGCCCCTGATATCAATATTGATGCTAATTTCTGTGTTATACTTGTCAACAAAAATCAAATTAAACAAATCTAATTGTAAAAACTACACTGAGTTTCTGGTTCCTGCATGGTTTGTGTTTCTTGCTTAACATATAGTAGCAATTTATGGATAGTAGAAGTCAGATGGTCATCGGTCATGTTTATTCAAAGCTTTGTCCAAAATCATGTTGGAATAATTAAGGGTTTTAAATCGATAAAAAGAATGTTGTAAGATAATGCTTGGTGTTGTCCTAATCTGAAGTGATTTATCTCCCCTTTCTACAAGCTAATCCAATCTGATTTACCTCCCCTTTCTACAAGCTAATCCAAACTGATTTACCTCCCCTTTTTTATATTCTAACTGTTTGGTGTGACACTCACTAAGATTGTTTTATTATTATTTCAGCTTAAAACTATATATATTATATCAGAATATGCAACTAATCTCAGTTATTTAAGTAACTCCAACTTCAACCAGAAAAAAAAAACACAACATCTTGCAGCTTCAATGTCCTATGGAAAATTATGGATGTATTAGGATTTCCTCCATAAATATTCAGTATGCGTTCTGAATACACATTTGTATCTGACAGGGACCAGACTATGACTTTGTAACAATTTTGAATTTACATCCTTAGGTTTTTGTTGTAATCCTGGTCAGAATTACGTCCTTTATAATTCGTTGCTTTCAAAATTTACTTGAGAGTCCCAATATAACTACTAGTATATTCATAAAGATATATGTTTTGAGGTCAACAGTTTTAGTTCTAAAGACAAAATTATGAATAATCACAAGAAGCAACCAATATTTGGGAAAATCAAAGAAGAAATGAACTTATTTTGAACATTTTAAGATTTGTATAACATGAAGGCTTTTTTACATGCAATTTAAAATGTAAAGCAATCCCTTTTAATTTTGCACCTTAAATCTGTATTTTATGATTTATAATTTTATGTCTTTTTCATGAATTTCTAATTGATTGTATCTTAAGAAGCATGAAGCTACAATATTACATAATTTTTTTATATTCAGATGCATACACTTTTCATAAAAAATACATTTATGAAATACTACCCAATTATATATAAATAGATGTTACACTATTGTTTCAGATAAGGGTGAAGGTTTGGTACCTTTAAAACGTTTAAACCCGCTGCAATTGTTTGCACCTGTCTTAAGTTAGGAATCTGATGTTCAGTAGTTGCTGTTTGTTGATGTGGTTCATAAGTGTTTCTCGTTTCTCGTTTTTTATATAGATTAGACCTTTGGTTTTCCCGTTTGAATGGTTTTACACTAGTAATTTTTTGGGTCCTTTATAGCTTGCTGTTCGGTGTGAGCCAAGGCTCTGTGTTGAAGGCCGTACTTTGACCTATAATGGTTTACTTTTATAAATTTTGACTTGGATGGAGAATTGTCTCATTAGCACTCATACCACATTCTCTTATATCTATATACTTTGCATTCAAGTTTATTTAAATAAGTTTTATCTACATAGTCACAAATACTACTAATAACAGTTTAGTGTATGATATTTTTATATTGATTTGATATTGTATATGTTTATTATATTTCTATATACAATATATTTTGCAAATACTTGTTATAAACTTATTATATTTCTAAGGAAATTCTTATTTTTCTATTGTAATGTATTACTAAAGAAAGACAACTCTTGGAATAATTTGTAAATTAATTTCTCAGATAATAAACAAAAAAGAAAATTTGAAACAAGATAATATATGGAAAAATATTAAGCTAAAAATTTTTGTTATGTCTCCATTCTAAAAAACAGTGTTCTCCATAGTTACCAAATTTATTGGAATATTTTCAGGCAGCCTCTGCTGAGACGAGAAATAGCGAGCTAGCAGACTTAGATGAGGATCCTTCTCGGCTCAATTCACAGCAGGTTTGTTATATTGTGAGAAATTATGTGTGTGGGTGGAGGTGGGAGGGGGATAAGGGAAGAAGAGACAGTTGTGGTCTTTAATATTAAGACTAAACTTTCAACAAACAGGTACCCAATAAAGTTTATCAAATAATTAAAATTTTCAAACAGTATTACTAAGTGATAACCATTTTTATACGACCGCAAAAAAATTTTGTGGTCGTATATTGGTATGACGTTGGCGTCGTCGTCGTCGTCGTCGTCGTCGTCGTCCGGCGTCGTCGTCGTCGTCGTACGGCGTCGTCGTCCGAATACACATTGGTTTTCGCACTCTAACTTTAGTTTAAGTGAATGCATCTTTTTGAAATTTTACCATAAGGTTAAATACCACAAAAGGAAGGTTGGGATTGATTTTGGGGGTTATGGTACCAACAGTTAAGGAATTAGGGGCCAAAAAGGGGCCAAAAATAAGCATTTTCTAGTTTCCAGACAATAACTGTGGAACGGTGTATGGATCTCTCTGAAATTATACTACAAGTTTCCATACCACAAAGGGATGGTTAGGATTTGCTTTGGGGGGTTATGGCTCAAACCGTTTAGGAATAAGGGGCAAAAAAGGGGGAAAAACAAGGTTGTCCTGGTTAATGGACAAATACTTTAGTACAAAACATAATTTAAAGCAGTGTAAGGGAGATAAATCAAATACATCATTGAAATTATCTCCCTTACACTGCTTTTAAATTATGTATAAAGTAATGGTTAATGAACAATAAAGATAATTTAAAACAGTGTAAGGGAGGTAATCCAAATACAACGTTTTGGTTACTTCCCTTACACTGCTTTTAAATTATGTTTAAAGAAATGCATATTTATAAAGGAAGACCAGTAAAAATATCTGCAAATGTTGCATCATTTTTTTTTACAAAAAAATCCATATGAAAGATTTGACACTATATTTTTAATTCTATTATAAAATAGATAAAGTTAGCACTATGGTAAATTTAAATGGGTAATTATGGTTGCCAACTCCATTGGAAATTTGAATTGAGATTATCACCATATCTTGAGGGAAAGAATTTTTTTGGGGAAAAAAGGGGGGGGGGATAAAAAGAAATTGTGGGGGGTCAATTTTTTCTCATTTCAGATTTCAGAAATTAAAAAGAATTATTCTTCAAATATTTTTTTTTTTTCAAATTTCAAATATTGAAAAATTTCAAGAAGTAATCTTTAATTGCACAGTATGGCGCATTAGATTTGTTAAATCTTTGATCACATTTATTTATTTGTTATGCCGAATCTAACAGTGTATTTAGATTTTTAATTTTGGGTCCAGTTTTCAAAATAGTCTACATTAAGGTCCAAAGGGTCCAAAATTAAACTTTGTTTGATTTTAGCAAAAATTGAATATATGAGGTTCTTTGATATGCTGAATCTAAACATGTATTTAGATTTTTGATTTTTGGCCCAGTTTTCAAGTTGGTCCAAATTGGGGTCCAAAATTAAACTTTGTTTGATTTCAACAAAAATTGAAAATATGGGGTTCTTTGATATGCTGAATCTAACCATGTATTTAGATTTTTTATTTTTGGACCCCTTTATCAAATTGGTTCATATTGAGGTCAAAAGGGTCCAAAATTAAACTTTGTTTGATTTCATCTAAAATTGAATTATTGGGGCTCTTTGATATTCCAAATCTAACTGTGTATTTAGATTTTTAATTTTGGGTCCTGTTTTTTAAATTGGTCTACATTAAGGTCCAAAGGGTCCAAAATTATACTTAGTTTGATTTTAACAAAAATTGAATTCTTGGGGTTCTTTGATATGCTGAATCTAAACATGTATTTAGATTTTTGATTATGGGCCCAGTTTTCAAGTTGGTCCAAATTGGGGTCCAAAATTAAACTTTGTTTGATTTCAACAAAAATTGAATATATGAGGTTCTTTGATATGCTGAATCCAACCATGTATTTAGATTTTTTATTTGTAGGCCCCGCTATCAAATTGGTTCATATTGAGGTCAAAAGGGTCCAAAATTAAACTTTGTTTGATTTCATCAAAAATTGAATTATTGGGGTTCTTTGATATGCCAAATCTAACCGTGTTTTCAGATGTTTAATTTGGGTCCCGTTTTTTAAATTGGTCTTCATTGAGGTCCTAAGGGTCCAAAATTAAACTTAGTTTGATTTTAACAAAAATTGAATTCTTGGGGTTCTTTGATATGCTGAATCTAAACATGTGTTTAGATTTTTGATTATGGGCCCAGTTTTCAAGTTGGTCCCAGTTGGGGTCCAAAATTAAACTTTTTTTGATTTCAACAAAAATTGAATATATGGGGTTCTTTGATATGCTGAATCTAACCATGAATTTAGATTTTTTATTTGTGGGCCCCGCTATCAAATTGGTTCATATTGAGGTCAAAAGGGTCCAAAATTAAACTTTGTTTGATTTCATCAAAAATTGAATTATTTGGGTTCTTTGATATTCCAAATCTAACCGTGTATTTAGATTTTTAATTTTATGTCCTGTTTTTTAAATTATTCTACATTAAGGTCCAAAGGGTCCAAAATTAAACTTAGTTTGATTTTAGCAAAAATTGAATTCTTGGGGTTCTTTGATATGCTGAATCTAAACATGTGTTTAGATTTTTGATTATGGGTCCAGTTTTCAAGTTTGTCCAAGTTGGGGTCCAAAATTAAACTTTGTTTGATTTTAACAAAAATATGGGGTTCTTTGATATGCTGAATCTAACCATGTATTTTGATTTTGGACATTGGACCATAATAGGTAAATTAAAAAAATTCAAGTTCTTAGACCACATTCTTTCTGTGTCAGAAACCTATGCTGTTTCAAATATTTAATAACAATCCAAATTCAGAGCTGTATCAAGCTTGAATGTTGTGTCCATACTTGCCCCAACTGTTCAGGGTTCGACCTCTGCGGTCGTATCAAGCTGCGCCCCAGCGAAGCATTTTATTGTAATTACTATGCAAAAATATACAGAAAATACAAAGTTTATAAATAAAATTTCTGTTTGATAACACTGAAATGGTAGTGGCCTCTGTGGCCGACTTGACCATGTTGTTGGTAAATAACAACATAAATAGACTTGTACAGCTAATTTTACTGATCATCACTGGTTTAAAGTTTTGATATTTTTTTCTTCTTTATCTTTTGTGTGTAGAAAGTTTGTCAGATACTCACTAAAGACATGTAATACTTCGCTGATGGGCTTTTCACCATCAATAACATAGACTGACATAAAACTGTTGACGTAATCAATTGAATAAAAAAAAGTTGATAACATGTAACACAATTTTACTTTTATAATAAAAGTCATGCTTGGCAATAAATTTGGTGACACAGCACTCAAAATGAAATTCTTGGATTATACCCTGCCTCCTGCCTCAGCAAGGCTTAGGTCATCTTTTCTATTATTCTACATCATACTTATTACAAATAAGTGAAAGGTAGATAACTCTAGTTTATTTTCATGCTTCTCAGTGGAGAGGGAGGAAGTCCAATAGAGTAGGTATCCAATGTAAACGATGTGTTATTTTTTTAAAATTAGTTGTATATTTCATTTTTTAATGAATTTTTGTTGTTTTTATGCTTACACTTATTTTCCCGCATTTTATTGAACGTAAATTTATTTGAAAATTGCATGTCAATCAATGTTAATATTTTTTTTTTAATTAGAAATGTATAATTTTTTATAGAACAATTTTTCCTTGTCAATCCTCAGCACTGGACAAAGAAATGTCAGATACTGAATTTTGTAATACATGTCACAGGGGTCTTGAGATTTCAGTGAAATGTTTATGTACAAATTAAAATTTTTATATCTAAAACAATGACCAAAAATATATATCTCTAAAGAAGTCTTGTATTGACCTGACTTTTCTAGACCTTTGATTCTCATCAACTTTCAGAAATGAGTTTTATTATTAGATTTCAGATTTTATCCTATTCAGTTATTGGCTAGCTCGTAGAGACATGTCTGCATTTATTTTAATGACCAAAATCACCTGATAACTTTAGGGATCAATAGGTCTGATTCTTTATTACTGTCAAATATCTATTGTCTATAATGTGAACTTAGGATTGTCATTTGATTTTGACCTTGACCTCACAATATTTTATCATTTCATTTATTTGTTGATCAATTACACAGGCAAGACATTCCTGTGTGTCCATTCTTTTTTTTCTTTATGTGACTAGTTCTAATGGTGGTCCCAGTTATTCCCCTTGACTGACAGTTACACTTAGACTCTGTTTATATTGGTTCCTAGTCATGCCAGTTATTCCCCTTGACTGACAGTAACACTTAGACTATGTTTATATTAGTTCCTAGTCATGCCAGTTATTCCCCTTGACTGACAGTAACACTTAGACTATGTTTATATTGGTTCCTAGTCATGCCAGTTATTCCCCTTGACTGACAGTAACACTTAGACTCTGTTTATATTGGTTCCTAGTCATGCCAGTTAATCCCCATGACTTACAGTTACACTTAGACTCTGTTTATATTGGTTCCTAGTCATGCCAGTTAATCCCCATGACTTACAGTTACACTTAGACTCTGTTTATATTGGTTCCTAGTCATGCCAGTTATTCCCCTTGACTGACAGTTACACTTAGACTCTGTTTATATTGGTTCCTAGTCATGCCAGTTATTCCCCATGACTTACAGTTACACTTAGACTCTGTTTATATTGGTTCCTAGTCATGCCAGTTATTCCCCTTGACTGACAGTTACACTTAGACTCTGTTTATATTGGTTCCTAGTCATGCCAGTTATTCCCCTTGACTGACAGTAACACTACGACTCTGTTTATATTGGTTCCTAGTCATGCCAGTTATTCCCCTTGACTGACAGTTACACTTAGACTCTGTTTATATTGGTTCCTAGTCGTGTCAGTTATTCCCGTTGACTGACAGTAACACTAAGACTCTGTTTATATTGGTTCCTAGTCGTGCCAGTTATTCCCCTTGACTGACAGTAACACTACAACTCTGTTTATATTGGTTCCTAGTCGTGCCAGTTATTCCCCTTGACTGACAGTTACACTTAGACTCTGTTTATATTGGTTCCTAGTCATGCCAGTTAATCCCCATGACTTACAGTTACACTTAGACTCTGTTTATATTGGTTCCTAGTCATGCCAGTTAATCCCCATGACTTACAGTTACACTTAGACTCTGTTTATATTGGTTCCTAGTCATGCCAGTTAATCCCCATGACTTACAGTTACACTTAGACTCTGTTTATATTGGTTCCTAGTCATGCCAGTTAATCCCCATGACTTACAGTTACACTTAGACTCTGTTTATATTGGTTCCTAGTCATGCCAGTTAATCCCCATGACTTACAGTTACACTTAGACTCTGTTTATATAGGTTCCTAGTCATGCCAGTTAATCCCCATGACTTACAGTTACACTTAGACTCTGTTTATATTGGTTCCTAGTCGTGTCAGTTAATCCCCTTGACTTACAGTTACATTAAAACAGACTTAATATTGGTTCCTGGTCTCCCAAGTTATTCCCCTTGTCTGAAAGTAACATTAAACACTCTTTTTATGTTGGTTCCTGGTGGCTCCAGTTATTTTCCCAAGGTGGCTCCAGTTTTTCCCATAGACTGACAGTTACAATAAAACAGACTCTTTATATTGGTTCCTGGTGGCTCCAGTTATTTCCCTAAAGTGGCTCCAGTTATTCCCCTTGACTGACACTTCACAGTTACATTAAAACACTCTTTTGATATTGATTTCTGGCCATGCCAGTTATTCCCCTTGACTTACAGTTACATTAGAAAAGACTCTTTCTATATTGGTTTCTGGTTGCCCCAGTTATTCCCCTTGTCTGACAGTGACATTAAAACAGACTCTTTATATAGAATCCTGGTTGCCCCAGTTATTCCCCTTGACTAACAGTTACATTAAAACAGACTCTTTTTATATAGAATCCTGGTTGTCCCAGTTATATCCCTTGATGGATAGTTACATGAAAACAGGCTCTTTTTATTGGTTAATGGTCACCCCAGTTATTGCCTTTGTCTGACAGTTACATTAACAAGTTCTTTCTTTCTGTGACCAGTTCTAATGGTTGCCCTTGAGTTATTTCCCTTTACTAATAGTTACATTAACAGGTTCTTTCTTTCTGTGACCAGTTCTAAAGGTCGCCCATGAATTATTCCCCTTGACTGACAGTTACATTAACAGGTTCTTTCTTTCTGTGACCAGTTCTAATGGTCGCCCTTGAGTGATTCCCCTTGACTGACAGTTACATTAACAGGTTCTTTCTTTCTGTGACCAGTTCTAATGGTTGCCCTTGAGTGATTCCCCTTGACTGACAGTTACATTAATAGGTTCTTTCTTTATGTGACCAGTTCTAATGGTTGCCCTTGAGTGATTCCCCTTGACTGACAGTTACATTAGACAGCCTCTTTCTTTCTGTGACCAGTTCTTATGGTCGCCCTTGAGTGATTCTCCTTGACTGACAGTTACATTAACAGGTTCTTTCTTTCTGTGACCAGTTCTAATAGTCGCCCTTGAGTGATTCCCCTTGACTGACAGTTACATTAACAGGTTCTTTCTTTCTGTGACCAGTTCTAATGGTTGCCCTTGAGTGATTCCCCTTGACTGACAGTTACATTAACAGGTTCTTTCTTTATGTGACCAGTTCTAATGGTCGCCCTTGAGTGATTCCCCTTGACTGACAGTTACATTAACAGGCTCTTTCTTTCTGTGACCAGTTCTTATGGTCGCCCTTGAGTTATTCCCCTTGACTGACAGTAACATTAACAGACACTTTCTTTCTGTGACCAGTTCTAATGGACGCCCTTGAGTTATTCCCCTTGACTGACAGTTACATTAAGCAGACTCTTTCTTTCTGTGACCAGTTCTAATGGTCGCCCTTGAGTTATTCCCCTTGACTGACAGTTACATTAACAGGCTCTTTCTTTCTGTGACCAGTTCTTATGGTCGCCCTTGAGTGATTCCCCTTGACTGACAGTTACATTAAACAGACTTTTTATACTGGTTCCAATCAAACAAATATTAATTAGAAAAGAGACAGAGTTAATATTTGATTAATTCAAGTTCGTGTAGAAAATGGCTTTTATCTCTTGACAATAGATTTAGTAACGTTTACCGATCGGTATTAAATCATTTCTCTTGACAGCTTCGATTATTGGACGGGAGGGAGAATTCATTGAATTTGTTGTGAATGTAGAAACAGTTTTAGTTTCATCACAAATTGAATTATTAAGTGACTATAATTAACAGGAAATGATTCGTTTAAAAAGCTTTTTGGATAACAAATAAATATTGATGTTTGAGTGTTCTGTGTTACTTGGAAACTTCTATCTTTGGACAGTAAAACAAAATCGTACAGATTTTTATTAATTTTCCTGTAAGAAGAGTTCTGTCAAACTGACAATTTAGAATATAATATGGGAAAAATCATTGGAATGAACCAAAGAATAAAAATTAAAAAAGAAAAAAGAAATCTGAATTTGTATAAAAAAATGTGATTGATTAAATTATAGGATTTAACTTAAAATGTGATTTTTCATGAAGTTATATGAATGGAATTTAAACAGCTACTCTTGAAATCTGAAATTCAAATATGAATATATATATATATATATTAAAAGAAATACAACATCGTCTATAACAGAGGAGTGTGTAAAATAAAGAAAATTCAAAACAGATGGAAATTCATTATTTTTTTTACAATTTTCAAATGATTACCACGTAACATCATCATTATGAAGATTTAGAAACAATTGTAGCAAAGAAAGTAGCAAGAAGCTGTTTGGATTATTATCCGATGAGGAAATTCTTTATCATTAATCTTGCTATCAGAGAAAATTATTAACCTGGTCATTGGACAAAATTATAATCATCAGGTCATTGGAAAAAATTGAGAAAAAAAATCTATAAATTGTGATTTATTGTAATAATACAGAAACTGCTGTGTAAATTTTTATTACCGACAATTTCCTTTGATTTTAGAAGAAAAAAATGATCTGGAATAATTAAAGGTTCAATCAACTATTGATTATTCAGGAGAATATTCTTTGAAATAAAGAAAGTTTAATTAAATCTGAGTACGAATTTATATTCATTGTAAATAATGACTTGAGGAATTTAAGTTTTTCGTGATTGACGAACATTAGAATCTTAATTTGCATCTTTTAATGTGATATCATACACATTATATAACCTGTTAGATCAACTTATTATTCAGGAAATAGATACTGTGTCGTTTGGAATACGGAAAATTTCACTCTCACGATAGATTTACGTAAAACAATATTATCAGGCTGATAATATGAATATATATTTCTAGATAGATAAAACTTGTTGCATGATTACGTTATTTCTTTTGAGAAGTATCATGACTGATTTAGACCGATACGGTATCATGGCAATTTTGATATATCATTATTGTTGAATTTAGAGAAAAGCGACATATTAAGAAAATTTTTATAAGTGATGATTAAGTAGCTGTGTTGACAAT